GTGTTTCTGTGATTTCTGTGATTCTGTGACCTCTTGAAAAGTTTTACTGGCTGCTAAGAAAAAAAGGTCGAAGTCCTGACTTTCATTTCTGCTACTGTGAGAGTGGAATAACTCATTTAAACAAAAGAAAAAAGGCACCTGAAGATAAAGTGAGGATCTGCAATCTGATTGGTGAGTGACATTATATCACACACCAGTGGTGATATCAGGAATGGAGTACTGACTCATCAACTCTCAGCATTTCTTTGGGCACAGTATTCATCTCTCTGATGAAATGCTCCATTTCTCAGGGTAATTCAAGAGTATCCTTTCAAAAACAGAAAGCTGTTGCCCAATATTCCTGTTCTTTACCTGAATGTGGTTCTTGTATAAAGAGGCGTACAGCTCCTGCCCAATTCTTCGGTACCGTTCCATACATGTCACAAATCCCTAGAAGAAACACCAGAACACATTACACTAAGATGTTGCAGGTGTAAACTCTGTGACAGGCAGAAGCAGACAGTAGTTGTTCTGTGTTTTACAAGAATAATTAGGGAATATGGCCTGTGTCTGCTCTCCAGACAGTACAGTGATGAGGTAATCATCTGAGAGCAAGTTGCACACTTACACCAGGAAGATAAACATATTCAAGATCTTAACAAGGGTCATTAGTGGAACTACTCAGAAGGAGAAAGAAAATAGCAAATAAAATTTAAGGCTCCTCCTTTTGGAGATGAATTCGTTAGTACTGCAAGTAGCATAAAAGACAATTAGCTGCTGTAGAGACCCTTACTGAGGTAAGGGTCTGTAACAACATACTTCCTTCTTGCTGCATAAACAGAAAATGCAAGAAGAAGGAATGGTCCATGTCCCCTTTTTGCAGACAACTGTTTCCAAAAACATTTTTGAGATTTAGGAGCGTAAGTCCTCTAGCAACAAGTGAATTTGCGTGTAAGTACACTATTTAATGCAATTGTGATGCAAAGATGTCTGAGCTAGCTCTAGAACTGGAAACTTGTACAGCTGTGTTAGTGCAAGGCAACACCTATAATAACTGCCCCTGCTCCACTACACAGCACAGATATGCCCTAAATCTCAGTGCTACTTAGGTGTTTCTAGAAACACATGTTTTCCAAAGCAGTTTGACAGAACTTCTCGGCCACCTTTCCTTCCAGAATGCACTGGACTCATGGAACAGTGAACCCACATTAACAGTCATACATTTAATCTGCTGTTTTATTGGAATGAACTTCTCAAGCTAAGGGTCTCTATGCAAGTACAAGACTGATGAACTGCTGTCAAGAGATTACGAGTTGCATTCCCCACTCTGCAAACAGACTGTTATGTGATCTTCAGCAAGACATGCAATTGCCTTAAACCTCTACCTCTCCAACCACAAAACAGACTATAATACTATCCTCAGAGTTACACAGGCTAAGATCATGAACAATGGTCCAGTGTGGTGGGATCCTTAAACTCAGGGAGCAGGGAAATTAAATGGGTTTCATCCTCTTCTTACCTACTCCACCAAAACCCACAGGTTTTTGGGTCACAAGGTTCACATAGCCAAGACCTATATAGAACACAAATCAGAGAATTTCAAACAGGCTTCCTATCTGAGCCTCCCTTTTGAAAAGATCAGCAGAAGTGTTATTAAACTCAATTGAATATCTCAGGTGCCAAACTAGCATCATGCAAGTAACAACAAAATACAACCTAGGATATTCACTATCATACTACTTCCTCAAATTCACCTGTTAAACTTTAATCAAAGACAAGCTCCCAGCTTTGAAAATGCTAGGTTTTCCCCATTTTCTCCTTACCATCTATGAAATTCTGGGTCCCAAAAAGACTTCAAGTAAAGTATTTGTTCTCATGACATTCTTTTGCCTGATCAGAAAACAGAAAAAAGCACATGGAAAGGCTGTGTGTATAAAAGAAACACTGAACAACTGCCGAGTAAGGTAGTGCCTTGGTTTATCCTACTGCATGAAGGCAACTGAAGAACCAGCACAGGACTCTGCTTTAGCAGGCTGTCCAACACTCATTGGGCTGTTCTACAGTCTTTTAACTCAGACTTTTCTATGCAAAGACAAGGATTGCTGCTCCATCTATTTCTCTCCTTGCTCAGTAGCTCTTTGTGTAACTGCTGACAAGTAGCTACTGGGAGGAGTTCAGTACCACAGCCTTCTTACTAACAGTCACAGGTAAAAATTCTCCTGTTTGACAGCGTATTTCCTAGAAAAAGATTCTAGCTATCCTATTATAACTACATGATGCCATGTCTGATCATCTGTGCATACTTGCTTTAAAATTTTCCAAACCAGAAGCTCTCTGAAAGAGCAACTTTTTCTTTTCCTGAAGTCAATGGTACAACACATTCAGACCTGACTCAGGATGATGGTCCTCATCACTACTGAAAGAAACAGAATCCCAAAAGTCACAGTATCCAAATAAACCATAAATATTTATTCCATGCGTCAGCCAAATGTGTAGGAAGGATGCAGGCTTACTTGAACATGAAGTCAAAATAAGATTGCTTGTCCTTCCCAGGAAGTTACAAAAGGCACACCAGAGCCATGAAATGGAAAAAAATGGAACAAAAAAAGAATCAGAGTGGCTGACCATTAACTCTGTTGCAGAGAGTAGCAGAAGTATCTGTTCCTTTGATAAATTCCTGAGGATTAGTGGTGGTAGAGAAGGCAGAAGTTGTTCGGAAATTATACAGGAGAGGTTAGAGTGCCCCCAGTGTTATTTGCAGGCTCTCATGCCCACCTGAGCTTCCTTGACAAAAGTGAGATTGCTGTGAGTCACAGCACAAGGCTAAACTGGCTGTGAAAGTCCCAGCCTCTCACTACCTAAACCCATGGATCAGATGGGTAACTTTTAAATGCATGGACTCTGTGCCATGCTGGCGGTGATTCCTCACAGCAAACCGTCTAGCTGCTGCTTGCACTGTGCTATAATTAAGTTAACACACAAGGTCTATGTGGTACGCCGATTACTGCTGGCTGCCAGCCAGGTCTGTACCCCTGCCGTGAAGTCACATTTATTGGTGTTTCCCTGCAGGAAGCTCCTGTTTTACACTGATGAAAGTCATTACATTTTTGTTTGTTTAAAGCGTCATTAAACCTGTAATCACAGTTGTGGCCTCACAAAACTATTCCATAATTCATATAAAACTCCCATAAAGGCTGACCTAGAAAGCAACAGCATCTCTGTGCTGCTGAGCCGGGCTTAGTACAGGAGAAGAGCTGAGATCACAGCTCTGTGTGGACATAGGGTAACAGCCATTCAGAACAGACAACCAATTCCTCCAAGTATTAACGACCATTTCAGATACCCACAGGCTATTCAAGCCGAGCCAGTGCTCTATTGGCAGCTGTTTCAAAGTTGCTCATAGTCTGTATTTCACTCATGCATGGTCACCGATCAGACCCCTAAGGTCAAAGCCCACATTGCGAAGATTCTCATTGACTTCAGTAACCACGCTCCTAGCCTTTAAAACATATGAAGGGTCCTAAGAAGGAAAAATTCTGGTAGCCATGTCTGGTGAACTGAAGACTAACCATTTGGCTTCCAAATGAGCTATAGTTAGTCATCTTCAAGCAGATGAACATGTCCCTGATGATCATCCCCACAAGAAAATCATCTGGTTGTAAAATGAAATGAACAGTTAACAAAATTGGAGATCATTGTGATTGGAAAAAACCTCACCAAACCAGGAAACAAAAACAAAACCTTAAAAAGCTATCCAATAAACATGCAGAATATGTTTATTCTATTATTAGAATATATAATTTTTTATTTATTAAGTGTTCAGTCAGAACAATTACACCATAACGCTTAATGAACAATTAGTGCAAACAAGATTTTAACAAATAAACAGTTTCCTTTAAAAATTGTAGGTGAATATCCTTTAAAATGTCAACTCTTTATGCTGTAAATTAAATACAACAATGTCACAGTGCAGTATCTTTCTTGAACAAAAACAATATGTCAGCTTTGGTAATTGTTAATATTGTGTAAGGTAATATAAGGTTTGAGTTTCATATGCAGAAAAGCAGGTGTAAATGCAAGAAATATGACCTGAATTCTAGGGAAGAGCAGACTAAAAGGCCATATTGAATCATCCTGGCCTAAAACTCTGAGGACGATACCATGGTTTAAGTCTTTTTTTAGACTTCTCGATTTTGCAGCCTTAGACAATCACATTCTAAGTACAGACAGCTCGTTCTGCTGCCTCAAATTCCTCAGCCAATATTGAGAACTTAAAAGGGTGATGGAATTTACAAGCTATTTCCCTATTAAAAAGACAATTCACAGAATCAAAAACTGTTTCTCCTCTTGCCTCATGGAGACCTCATGCAAATTCAAGAGAAAATAATTAGCACTGGGGAAAGGTAAAACCAGCAAGGAGAAAAATGTTGGCAGAAAAATTAGCATGTAAAAAAAACCCCGAAGAGTGGATTTGCTATAATTTCTGTCAACTAAAGCAATTCAAAGGCTGCTTGTAATAAAAAACAGTTGGTAAATAAAAAGAAAAAAGAAAAAAGGTTGAGGTGTGTCTAAGTTAACAATTCTCTGCTGAGCTCTGGAATGTTTTATGTCTGGTTTTTTTTTTTTTTTTTGGTCTATATATATATCTCTATATATCTATCTCTCACTTAACACTCCTGCACCCCATAAATATTCAGGCTTGCCATAATAAACTCATATTGCATGATACAGACGGCACATATGCCACAGTTTTTTCCTAAAGAAACATTATGTCATTGGAGCTCTGCACGTTGAGGCTTTCTTTGGGGAATTAAGGGCGATGTGTTGTATTACAGAACACACATGCACACAAAAGTATGTGCCAAAACTCTTAATAAATAAAAATAAACTTAAATACAAAATAATTTTGGACTCAGAAGAAATAAAAGAAAAGCCCAAATATCCAGATCCCTCACTGCACCAAGGGCATGGTCCCATGCATGATAGTGATAATACTCACTAACTTGTTTTGAAGCATCTGTTTTAGTCATCTGTTGGTGAGGACTACAACTAGTGATATTAGTCTACTACTTTAGCTCTTCTGAGCAAAATGAATATTATAAATATATAAGCACACACAGTAAGAGCATTCATATAGCATCGCAGCTATAACAAAAATAGCTACTCTTGTACAGTACTTTTCACCAGTACATTTCAGAGGTCTTTATGAAAGAGGTCAAAGTCTTTAGCTTACAGATGGGGAAACTAAGACAAGTGAGTTTCTGGAACATCCTACCATTATAATTTGGTCATGGGGGAAAGGGGATTGGTGATGGGGCAAACCCCACATTAATTAATTTGAAACAGCCTGATAAGCCCACAAAAAGGATGTATATGGTGACAGCATGCAGTGGTGGGAGGAGGAAACAATTTGATGAACTAATTTGGAAACCCCTTCTACACTTATGTTC